GGGCATTCCTGGGGAGCCATGGACAGAACTGTCCATGGGCTTCATCACTCAACTGCCAAAAACTAAGGAGGTCATGATGCTATCGTCGTATTCGTCGATAGACTGACCAAAATGGTCCGCCTAGCAGCCACGACCACCGAGCTCTCCGCAGAAGGAGTAGCTGACCTGTTGGTGCAGAATGTGATAAGGCACCACGGCCTCCCCTCTCAGATAGTGTCCGACAAAGACGTTTGGTTCACTTCCAGGTTTTACCGGTACCTGGCCGAGAGGTGGAAGATTCAGCTCAACATGAGCACTGCGTACCATCCACAAACGGATGGCCAGACCGAAGTCATGAATCGGATTCTGGAGGACTACTTACGCAGCTATACGCGTTCTGACCATGATGCGTGGGATGAAATATTAGCCATGGCCGAGTTTGCAATAAACAACTCGAAAAACAGTTCCACCCAAGAGACCCCGTTCTATCTGAATTACGGGAGGCACCCAAGGAGTCCCTTAGCTCTTGGTGTGCAAATTCGGAAGCCTTTAAAAGGCTATGACAATCCGAATGCCCGCGGCTTGGCAGTGGCCATTGAAAGGGCACAGCAGCCTTACTTGAGGCAGTCTGGTACACCCCTCATGGAGGGATTACCAGCAGTGACACGATTTGATCACCGTGTCCAGACAGCACTGAAAGAGGCCAGGGTGTGCTTGGAAAAAGCACGAGATAGGCAGTCGAAGCATGCTGACCGCCATCGGAGGGATGTGTCGTTTAATAAAGGAGATGACGTCCTCCTTTCGACACAACAAATTACCCTCAAACACCCTGGAACTCGAAAATTATTACCGAGGTGGATTGGGCCCTTCACCATCCTCGACCGGATAGGTTCTGTCGCATATCGACTAGAACTCCCGGAAAGCATGCATAGAATACATCCAGTATTTCATGTGTCGAAAATCAAGCCTTACAAGACAAGTGGCAGAGTACAACCACCCCCAGTTCCTATCGAGATCGAAGGTGAACTGGAGTATGAGGTTGAACGTATTCTTGACAAAAGGGTTAAAAAGCGTGGGAGACGCAAAAATTATGTTGAGTACCTTGTCAAATGGCTGGGATATGGACATGAGCATAACAGCTGGGAAACAGCAAAGTCAGTTGCAAACGCACAGGAATTGGTTCAAGCATTTGAAAATGGTAGAACACCTGTGATGCGAATGCAAACTGCATGAAAGTATGGGATGTACAAACTGAGAAATGCTCATGTGTGACTATGCTTTGACAGGTTCTCCTGAGATGGGCCCAGAAGAACACTGGGTACACTGCTCCCCGTGCCAAGACGCAGTTCGGACACATGAACGCCATGTCCGTTGCGATCTTGAACTGAGAAAGACTAGACATTGACGAACCACTCATGCCGGCCTCTCGCGGAGCTGGACGTGGGCGTGGCCGCGGGCGAGGACGAGCTCCCGCACCGAGCCGACGCCCACCGGCATGGGCATTTGGTGGTTCCCATTCTCGGGGTCGCAGACCATAGACCGGGAGGTCAAACACTCCAGCCATGTGGCTGAGGAAGAGTTTTAATGAGGGTTGTGCAGACCGGGAGGTCATGTAAAAACAACTACTCTTTCTCTTCATCCTTCACTGTGTAGTGTTTCACAACTGGGCATGTGGCAAATCGCATAGCCAGTTTTATTCACATACACATAAAGTTTCTGCTCCCATATCCACATATTGGGACGAGGACGCCCCACCTCCCTGAGGGGGACGAATGTTACGCGCACCGGCCTGACGTGGGGGACGCCCTACTACTGGCCCTTGGTGTGGGGGACGCCCTGCCCAAGAACACTATCCTCAACCCAGGGAAACCACTTTAGGTATTAGGATATGGGAGTAGGAGGGGTGGTCCCGCCTAGGTCCCCGTAAGGACCTAGGTGCCCGGCGAGGCGGGTCCGCGGCTCAAAGAGGGCAGGAACCCCACACCCACAGTCTTTTCGTATCATTGTGCCTCCCGTGTACAACAAGACACCATAGCAATAACTGAGCACTTAAAGTATTGTCTAATACTTGAAACACAAAAGACATGTTGCAATGGGGTAATACACACAACGCCAAACCCAAAACATAGAATATGCAGCCAAACTTCAAAAGCAACATGTCCAACCCTCTAACATTACTCAACCATCACAAAGGCACAAGACTGAACCCAATAGAAGGCTCAGAAACACATTCCAAAATGTGCCTGTATAAGGTTAGGCAGCCCCTTCTAAGAGAACCTCAGCAACTGGCCACCTTTTCAAGTTAATGAGATTCTATACTACAACAAGCACACAAAATGCGCCCTTGCACCCACGCAAAACCCTCACAGCACATTGCCACTCCTCCCTTGTGTCCCATGCCGCCAAGGGAAGTTGGACATGACTCATGGGCTATAAAAAGTGCGTTGGCATCTGCACAAACATAGAAAAAGAAGTGGTGTTATACACAACCACTTTAAAGACAAGACAACCCTTTCTAAGGTCTAACAAAGGTAGCCAGCCCTCCCCATGTAGAACACAATGGACAGATTGTCGGTTCTTTCACAGGACCATGCACAATCCGGTTGTTGAAATCCGGTTTGATTACATTAACCGAGCTCCGCGGCATCTGAGGCCATGCACAATCCGGTGTATTTGTCTCTTCAAAACAACCACCAAACTCTCACGCATTCCCTTTTTTCCTCTAGACCAAACCATTACCATTTTTTCACAATAACTAAACATTTTGCCCCAAATTAGTATGGCTTGCACATCCAACCATGGGGGAAGTGTAAAACAATACTGTCAACACATAGAGTGAGGAGAGTCAACCTACTTCTGACTCTCACTCCCTTACCCTAGTCGTGCGCTGAACTTGTCATGGCCATCCTGGCTCATGACTTTAGTGCATGCAGGGTTTTTAGTGAGAGAGCTAAACATAGCCCTGCATAGTAGAAGGACCGGCACCGTGCCTGGTCTCTGAAATCCCACAGAGCCAGCACACCTGCCATGTCAGACTTGTGTGTGCAAGTGCATTTCAAGACTTCTGCTTGAACGTAACCTTACACATCACATGAAACCCCATTTTTCCATGTGAATTACTGGACTATACGCCTTTCCTCATCAGGTCAGGCAGCCCAGATGGTCTTCCTCAGACCAGGGATGCACCAGCTAGGCTCATCCCAATTCACCCACACAGCCCGGCCCCTTGAGGTCCAAGACCTCCCAGAATCATCTTTGAATCCAGTCAGTCTGGGGAGCTGACTGGTGACACGGATCTGTTGAGCACACAGGGTGGCATCTCACATCCAGCCCTTGTCTCCCTAGCCTTACACCGCCCTCGTTCTCACTCCACAAGGTTTGCGGCTGTCCGCTCATAACCTATTTTTGGAGTGTTTTCTCTTTGTTTTCTTTTTCCCTTTTAATCAGCAATGGTGGCACACTCGGGCCATCCCATGCAGCGTGCGCAGCGCATACGGTAGATACACATCGTACGCCAATTACATAAGTGATCCACCCAGTGAAAACGGTGGTCATTATGTGGGGTCACAAACACTAACTTGTTAATGGGTTTCTGCCAAGGGAGACGATGGGAGGGCTGCACCGGTGATTCAAATCGCCCAGTTTCAAACCCTGGGTTTACTTCGGATTTCTGGCCACTTTAAAACCGTGGGTTAGTCAAAATACGAAAATACGAGGTGCTGCCAACCTTGGCGCCCTTGGGTTTGGCGGGCTTTGGTGCGGCTGAGCGGGGGCGACTATTTCGGCACCCCCCTCGGTCCCCCTACATATCTTGTTTCGCACCCAGCCCTTCCGCCCTAGAAAGTGGTGTTTGGCTTAGTTGTGGGACGGAGAGGCAGTGGGGGGGAGTGAAGTACGGGATTAGGGAGCTGACTCATGGGGTGAGTCACTCACTGAGTGGCGTTAAGTACTAGCGAAGCGAAGGGCAAACTTGACGAATGGGGACCTCGGGTACAGTACATTGGATCGGTGGTGAATTGTAAGTGTTGGTCATGGGGAGTACTTGACCGGCTGGGCTCAGGAGACCGGTAAGGCAGGAATGTTCTCAATCAGTGACCACCGTATCTCCAAACTCATGTCGCCACATTCAGCACCATGTTCACCATGTCAAGCCACACCATGGGCAGTACCATTTCCTTGTAATTACTTGCCTGTTTCCCTCGCCCTCCCAATCATCATCCTCACTGGGCACAGGCACTGGCAGCTGCCAAGGGCTACTTGCCACTGACACACGTGCCAATTTCTTATCGCTCCCATTCCGGCTCCAGGACCTGGTCCAGGTCACCCAGAGCCCAGGCCCAAGCCCAACTCCGCTATTTGTACGCTGCAGGAGCCGCACTGCACGTGGTGGCAACGGCGTGCCCAGTTTTATTCCAATTGTGCCCATTCGGGGACATTGGGGCTGAAGAACAGTGTCTTCCATGGAGGGAACACACTACCACTACAGTGCGGTCCTTTCTGACTCCAGCGCACGTGGCTGTTTCATCAGCATCAGGATAAGGCGCGGACGAGGCTCGACTTGGGCTTCGCTCAGGACGTGGGAAACACAACCGCAATAAAGAATAACGAATCCATTACAGAAGAGGGCCCAGGGCAACGCCACGATGGCAGCCATGGCTTCGAGCACAACGACAGCTACACGTGACCAAGCTCTGCAACCATGCATGCACTCATATGAGCAAGAATACAGCAAGCATGGGCTCATATGAGCTGCATGCCCAACTATGCCACGCCAGCGGGGTGAGATGGCCAGATCCAACTTCTGTCCTGAGGGGTGGCAAAAGCCTCCTCGACACTATCACCCCATGTCGTCCACCTGCATGAATTGCTAAGAGAGTTAAGCTAACAAACTGGCATTTGCCCTCACTTTATTGTGAGCACTGCCCCATTTTCCCGCGCCTATATGTCACACCACAATTACACGCGTCCCCACCATCCACCTCAGGCTATCTTTGAGCGTTTTCCAACACAAGGTGTGCGCCTTAGTCTTCACAGCTGGCCTGATCACCCAGCAGGCTCTCATGCCACATCGAGAAGCTCCAGACGTACTCGCCCACCTCCCTGGTTTTGACCATCAGCTGAATCGGCTGGCCGGCCAAGTGGCGGCTCAGACTAAACTGCTTGATGTTCAAGTCCAGCTCGAATGAGCTGAGGTCCAACAGGTGCTGCCAGAAATGGAACGTGTACACGTGCTCTGTGTCGAATTTGCGGCCTGCCCGGTTCCGAGCGTCGGACATGAGCTTCTTTCGCTGGGGCCCGGGGAGAGGCTCCCCGTCGCTCTTGCAGAACTGGGAGCCAAGGATGCGCATGTCCTCCTGCGGGGGCGAATTTATGGACCTCTCCTCCCCAGGCTTACTAATGGTGATCATCTGCAGGCATCAAACGCAATTTCAGCACTTCATTTCTGACACCCATTTCGCCTACTTGGGTTTGGTTGGAAACGCGGTGCAGCAGTAATGTGAACATCAAAAGAGGAATGTCGGCACAGGAGAGCCTAGATGCAGCCAAAGACTAACACCATACTTATCACCGACCGACCCCTGTGAGGGCGTTCCAGTTACAGCCGTACACAAAAGCACAGTGCCCAAAACATTTCCACAGAGCCACCTGAGTCCGTCTAAGTCCGTCTCTATTCGGGCCATGATTCACCAAAGTCGCGAGGGTATTCCTGCCCCTCAATCCGATGGCATCTGTCTCCTGAATTTCCACAAACAGTGCTTGGGTTTCAGGGCCCACAACAATCGCAACACATAGCTTAACTGCCCAATCAGCCCCTTGCATAACATGTCTACAAAGCATGAATCTATGGGAAAGTGCAGCAACAACTGCCAAGGGGAACAGCCCAAACTTGATGACAACTGTTACCCAAACATGTCCCAGCATGAGAGCTTGAGCAAGTGTTCCACCAAGGCCTGTGAACAACCATGGCCCAATCATCTCAATCCATTTGGGTGGGGCAGCTGTTAAAATCTTAGCCACGCAACTCTGGATGCCATTCCAATCGAATAGCAGTCGAGTATCGTGTAATGGTACCAGGCACTGTCATAGACAAACTTTTTGGCAGGTGAGCTTACTTGGGCGCCAGCCACAACAGGTGTTAGCATGTGAGGTACGGGCGTCAAGCTGGCCTTCATACTGGGACTCAGCCGCTTGGCCAGTTTCAGCAGAACAGAGAAGAGGGCCGTGGCAGGTAGGTGCTTTAGCGGCCGCAGGAATTCCTGCCCAGTGAACACGTCACTGAAGTCGAGCTCCTGTTTGAACCTGCCCTGCACGGCCATGTGTGTGACACGCCTCTGACCCTGCAAGCCACCACGGCATGTGTCAGGACCATGGTCGGCGCCTACAAATCCTCTTCTGGTGCAGCTGGTTTTGCAGCGCAGCAAACTACAAGTGGGAAGATGACAGAGAGGTGGCAAATTTACAAAGTGCATAGACAGCCCTGGGAGTTGGCTGAGTGCCAGACACAGTGGGGTTGGGATCCACATCACACCTGGCAGATCACTCAAATAATTTGTCAAATCAAGTACAATTGCAGCGCATGAGCGCAGACCAGACAACTGGGGGACACACCTTGCTGTGGCAAAAGCACACATCAATAGTGCACAAATGCACCTAACCGCCCACACATCAGCGCACCTGGAACAGCCCTTTTGGCGTTGTCTCCAGCCCAGCCACCCACAAGACCATTTGCCCCCTGAAGAGCTTGCTCTCAAAGTGGAAAGGCTCCCCGGTGTTCACCCTGATCTTGTCAGGGTCACCCCCCCGGGTCGCCTGCTGTCCGGACAACGACATGTTCAAAGCCAACATGCATGGCCTGTCAGGCCAGCTCTCGTAGTCCTCAGCCTGTGGGGCACAGGTACGCTTGGACGCAGCAGGGGCAGAGGTCTCCATCTCATCTGACTCGCTGGGGCTCCCCTCTGCTCCATTGCCACCACACACCTCTGCTTGCCACTTGCCACTCCCCAGTGCCCCAAGCCACTTGCTGCCAGTTGGCAGCTTGCACGACACGGCTTTGGGTTGCTCTGGGAAGTTGGAGGCGTCCTGAAGGCGCTTGATCAGGTCGCCATGGGAGCCGTGGTACTTCTTGTGTGTTGTGGAGGACTGTGGAAACCAAGCCTATGGAAACAGAGGCACACATCAGCCTGGCTGATGGCCTGCAGGCAGCCAGGCTGCTGGACTCGGCTGCTCCATTCTGAGCATTTGCATCGTAAAAGTTCTGGCACATTAGAGATACCAGAAGTGCAGGAAGTTCTTCAGCTGGACTGTGTTAATACATGATATGTACCAAGCATATGATACATGCAAGAGAACATACTCCAATCATCACATCAGCTACAAATAACCAGCATCCGCTCAAATGCTGCACTTGGCCTAAACGATACGTTGGGATAGCTTTTCACTGCTCATTGCATGTGATTAACCACCAGTATAGTTGGTGTGTGGATGCCAAAATGTATGAGTGAAAATATTCAACGCAGACAGGGAAGTTTGATCATTCACATTTGGCACAGCATCTCTGCCAACAAAGCACAACTTGTGAGGTTTGAGTTCAACTGCATGAGGGGAGTTTCAATGCATTGGGGCTATTCTCGTTGTCTAAAGACAATAAATTCTTTGCCAATTCATTCTTGGCACCATTGCTGATGCAAGTAACTCAAATGGCCCTTCCCCATTGGACGCAGTTGTGTCCAACCTCCAAAAGACCATGTTGAGCTTTGGGGCTTCACCATATCAACCCCAGAATCAAACCCACTTCAGGCACACTCCTCTATCTTATTTATGATGTGTTGCTATTCAGGCCAAACACGATATTCGTACATTCGCAACACATGGGGACCGCCTATGAATGGGTTCAGTTTTGCTATTGCTATTTTTGCTATTTTATTGCTTTGTTATTAAGTACTTCTGTGCATACACAAGCATCCAAAAGCATATGCTTCTCAAAATCTGGTGCACTGACGGTTACCTTGTAGCTCAGGTACATGGCCATCCCGATCAACAGGTAACCCACAGGCACCGCAAACCAGCCCAACATTCCCAAGGTTGTCAGTGCCAGCACAAAAGTCTGCAACACCACGATGCTCTCCAACTTTGAGATCTCCACGCTTTGGGATTCTATTATGTACTCCAGGCGCTGTTGCTGCTCTGAGCCTGACTCAAAGAGAGCAATGTTGAGCTGCCTGTGAAGCTTCAGCTGCGAATGTAGCTCAGCAACATGCTGCTCTGTGCGCAAGAGCTCCTCACCGATCCCCATGAGTTTCGCTGGCACTGAATCGGACGTGGAATCGCTGCACAATGGGAGCACACAAGGACACATGAGAACAGGCTGGCATACCTTGGCACAGGCAACGATGCCTAAATATCACTTCAAGATTTGATAAATGTGGCCACAGGTTATGCACTAGTCACAGCAGGAATGTGTGCCGGATCGGTGCAGAGGCCAGCACAGAGTCCTGCAGGTGAGTGACAATCCCTGGCTGTTGGAGTGTGCACATGAGGGAAGAAGGTTTCTGAATCACCGTGCTTCAATGGCAAAGCCCTCTTGATAAGGGAAGGCAGCAAATCTCTATCCACTTCACAGCCCCAGTAGTCCTGTCCACAGGATAGCACGCCAAGTGCCCAATGAGCAACAAACACCACACCACACGCACCACTGGTCCAGCACTGCCTCTGTGAATCTGTAGAACAGGGGCTGGTTCTCAAACTTGTGGCCATCTGTGACATGCCGAATCAAATCAGATGCCATCATGCGATTTCCTAGCTCGAGTGCCTGGTTCACGTCCTTGACGATGCCATCTGAAATCATCCAGCTCACTGCCTCCTCCCCAAGAAAACAGTGCTTGAACACCTTCCAGTGCCACTGCCTGCTTGCAGCAAAAATTATGGGGACTGAACCAGGCTGCATCTGAAATTTTGGTTTACTTCTTCCCCATTCACCCACGACTGTTTCACACAGGTTTGTGGAATACAACAAATGCAGTAAACACCTCTTGACTTCAGTACTTCGGCCTTGCTCATCCAAATTCTTTAGACAGTCATTTCCAATCTCCACAAGTTCGGGATCTGCATTGGGCAGTGCTCTGCAATCACCACAAGGTGAGAAGTTTGCTTGTTTGTTTGTTTGTTTGCTTCTAAATAACATGAACCGATGGCATCACACACACACACACACACACACACACACACACACACCATTCAGGTATCCTGCTCAAAGCTGTGTACGAGGGTCAAATTCAGGCCTACCCACGTTGCCAAGAACAGCTTCTAACAGTGGCCACGACTATCTGCGATTCTTCAGAGACTCCTTCATAAAAAGGAGAATGTAGGACAAAGGGCGATGAACCTGGGGTAGTAGAGGTAATCCCACTTCTCTCCCCTCACACTCACCTGTCTTTCAACTCCACATTTTTTGACATTCGAAACCCCAGTTCTAGCAGCTCCTGTTTGCAGATGAAATCAGACAAAGATGAGCATCCAAGCATTGCTTAACCCAGTCACAGAAAGCCTGCTGCTTGCACACATCCATCCTGTCATCGATGCTCGATTGGATGCTCAACAGCACAAATGCTTCATCAACATCCTCGCTGTGGACGATGACTTATTTCAACCTTCCACAAATGGTGCTCAAGCATCTGACTAAGTGACTTTAATGCGTCATTTTGTTACAGGATTGTTTTGTTCCAAATTGATTTCCCTTGCGATCCATCGGAAAAGCAAGCGTGTCAACTCATGCTTTGCACCACCAACTCATTAGTACATCGAGTGGCACATTTTTTTCCTTTTTGCAGAATGTTCTGAAATGAACCGTACGCCAATGCAACAATAATAAAACTCAAATGCACCATACCCTCCATGTGCAGAAGGTCACAAGATGGACAGATAATGGACCACCACAGAAAAGATCAGCTTTAATAGGAAAGTGAACTGGACGCTCACATTCTTCTCTGTGCCATTGGAGGCAGTGCTCGACATGGCAGAGTCGCTCAACTGCTCAACCGCCCCTCGAGCACTGGGCGCCGTTGAAGCATCGCCTGGGGAAGAGTCGTCAGGCCTGCCAGTTCGCATATTGCTGGCGCTTGTTGATCTAACCTCCACAGAATGGGAATTCCCTACACAACAGCAACAGGAAGCAAAACTTTTGAACAGTACATAGAGTCTTTACAGAATCACACAGTCTATCACACGTTCATTCGCCATCTGAGCACACCGTAGTTGGCTTCCTACCCTCCCTTGGATCCACTGGATCCCTCCCAACGCAAACGGCGGTCCTGCTCTCTTGTGCGTTGTCTGGGATTTTTGAAAACCATCTTGAAACAAACAGGCACACAGCCCTGTTTTCCCGTCGGTGTCCCACTGGCCCTCAAAAGCGGGGGAGTGTGCGGCGCATTCTTCAACAGTGCAGTGTTCTTGCATGATTGGGACTCAAGGTCGTAAACTCCACTCAGCACGCGCACTCTGCCGGAGAAGGTACGAGGGAGGCGAGTGTGACTACGCAGCACGGAGCCGGCGCCCTGGGCCGCGCTTTCCCGCGCGACATTGGGACAACTGGCGCCGAGGAGCCGCTATGGAACAGCAGGCTCAGGATGCCAGCCAGCCCGCCTACGCCCCTCAATCCGCCACCCCCAGTAATTCAGAGAGCCGAACCGTCAGACCACGGTCCGTTTGCGCCAATCCACCACGATCTCGTAACGCCCATCTCCCCCCTGGGGAGAATCGTGAGCTCAGGTCCTCCCCCAAGGGCGGCTCCACTCGTCGACACCCTGTGCGCCGGGGCACGCGGCTTACGCCAACATCAATCCGCGCTGCAGGCTCGTGCACCGCGCATACAGGGTCAAGTTGAATTCCGGGCCCCTCCGCGTCCTTTGAGAGATCGCGCAGGTCGCTGACACCGCGAACTCCCACCCGCCCCCTCCCGCCCACCTATCCCGCCGTCGTGCCCCTCCGACAGGAAGGTCGTGCAGCTGCAGGACTTCAGCGTCCGCCGCGCCGTGCCCACCGACCTCCGGATGCTCCCCTCGAGGACCGTCAGGGCCTTGGTTATGTCAGGCATGTACCACGCCCCGTCCGATGGACGCTTCTCTCGCGGGCGGGATCCCGCAGTGCCCACTGCACGGCGCCCCGCAACGCCCCTCCCGCTGCCTTCCCCACGATTCGATGCGCCGCAAGCCGTTCGAGCGCCAAGCCAGGCAGTGAATCCAGCAAGAAAGAGATTGGGAAGCTCCTTTTCCGTTGGCAGGGATGTGCGGAGGCCAGGGAGGCGGAGACTTGCCAAGGGGAGATGCTAGGCCTGGACCGAGGTCGCTGGCCACCCAACCGACTGTGGCGGGGCCCACCAAGTGATGCGGCTCCTAGCGTGGAGGGCGAGCGGGGTGGTGGGAACCGGCGACAGCGTCTTGCGCCCGTGGACAAGGGAGGGTGCGCTCCCTTGGCGTGGTGGCGCTCTCGGGTGCTTTCCACCAGTTCGGGCGCCGCGGTGTGACCCAAATGAGGGTGCAGGGCGGCTTGTAGGGCACGAGGTGTGTCAACTGTCACGTGGGTGGCGACTGGGCCCCACCAGTACGGCGCTGTGAATGAGTGAGGGTAACGACCAGGCGATTCTGACGAATCTGGCGCAGACGCGGACTGAAATCGCAGCGATTCCGTTGGGAGGGTTTGTCGCTGGTGCAACAAGGGCCCAGTCTCTCAAACGCAACAACAATGCGGCATTGAATCCAATTCAGAATTAAACAAGTGTGCCAAACCAGAAAACCTACAAGGCACATATGGATCAGCACCTCCGCCCATCCACATGCACAGAGTGTCGTCCAGCTGAAACTGTGACTGTTACGACAAGACCCACCACAACCTCAATAACCCAAAAATGTCCCTGGCCGAGTGCCATAGCAAATTTTGGGATTGCATGGTTCAGCCCTACTTCGACAGATCAGCAGGAAGTAAAAGAAAGCCAGTTCCGCAAATATTGGAATGCGCAATGCACTTTCCCCCCTCTTCCTCCCTCAGTACTTTGGAACATCTCTGCCTCTGTGTGCGTTGACTTCGCGATCCACCGTCCACAAGTCTCCAACGATGCTGCTATCTTGAGACAAGACCTCAAAGGGGACTTCAAGAGTGGACCCAATCGGCTCATCCTGCCAGGAGCCAATTAGCCAGGAGGCCTGCTATCAATGGTACCGACAGGTTGTCATCCACCAGCTTGTTGATCGGCAACGCCTCAACAACAGTTGCAATGAATGCTATAAACACTGCTCCCAAAAACGTAGGCCCTGGCGCAAAGTCGACATACCCCAGCCAGCGAAAGGCAGACATCAATCTGTCAGCAAGCGACACTGTGAGCTGTGAGGTCTGTTGCAAACAAAACAAAAGCAAACAGAGCATTGTAGAGAAAAGCAATTCCAAACATGCATCAAGGATGGGCAAACACCCCAAATGAAAGGTCCTCATGTAAGGCGTCAACGCTGCCAACCAAGCAGCGATGCCACGCATTCGAATCATCACTAAAGGCAACAAAGCCCTGCACGAATAGAGCAAGGCAAAAAGTGCTGGGACATCAGGCTCCTGCGCATAGATCCTATGTCTATGCAAAAGAAGATTGGTCCAAACAACCTATAGTGGTGACGGTCCAGAGCATTGCAATTTACAAACGACTGCCCCACTGAGCATTCCATAGGGCATATGGTATGCACCCCATGACAAGAGAGAGGAAAGCACGCTCTGGTGACAACAACTGAGAACGATTTTGTGGCTTTCAACGGTTTCAGGGTCACAGAGTGATGTCTTGCTCAGCGACAGCAAATCCAACCAAAGACAAAGGAAACAGCATCCAACCATATCGATGTTGCCATCTGCTGGTGACTACGGCAATGATGCTCTTATCACATTCTTTCGGTGCAGCACTGGTATCAGAGCATCAGACCCACAGCTTCCAGCACAAATACCAAAACTGCTGCATCAGTCAAATGGCTTGAAGGCACTGAAGTGCATGATTTCAACAACTTGGCACCAACTCAGTTCATTCAGTTTCCTCACACACAGAATTCCTTTCACTGCATTTGGTTTCACTGGGCAAAGCGGTGCCCTCTACTTTGAGGACGATTGGCAAGCATCCATTCATCCAATGTGCCTCGTCAATTGATTGCTCACCCGATCGCCGTCCCTGCCCCAGCAACAAACATGGCAGCACTGCCCTCCTGGGTTTTGGGGTGATTTCCTGCCCAGCAGTGTCGACCCCACCTCCGTCCGATGACATCCGCAAAGCCATCCCCTGCACATGTGACTGCGACCACCATGTACCCTGCAACACTGTCCCGCCAACACAAAGCGGTGACGGCCATGAGCATGGCGATGTAATAGATGGGCCCACGCAGTAGTTCAGTCCTGTCACTCTCGCGGCTGATCGACTTCACCAGGCCTTCATCCTGGAGGACCCCTGTGCCCACGAGCAACAGCCGCAGGAAGTTGGCAGTGGGCACGATCAGGGCAATGTAGCGAGCGTAGGCAGCATCACTGCAGGGGCCACACGCCTGTCTCACTATCTTTTCTGTTGGTATCAGGAGGACAACTTGGGGCCCATTTAGGGCAACTGGGGGAGAATCCAGGCTATAATTATCCCTTTCAACATTAAACATCCATGCTATCTGACTAACAACAAGACACCCACCCAACCCCACAACACCTGCAACCTACTTTTTTAAAAAGCTAACTCTTTGTACTTCTTGAAACTTTCACATGGCTGATTCGTTGCTGAGTTGGACCTCTAAATTCGGAACTGCCGCATCGCATTCCCGAGGGACAATTGTGCCTCTGAGTCCAACTATGCACGATTGTCCTAAATGCTAAAGGTCTCCTGAATACTGCACCACAGCCCACTCAGAGTGCATACCCATTTGACCAAACGCAGTCCTTGCCCAGAATTCTGCGTGTGAACAACGTAAGTCTCTTCTTTACAGAATCTGCTGTACATCAAACACCACTCATATCGAGAGCACCCAAGCATTTCTCGCAAGCCTTTTCCTGCCCAACGAGATGCACACCATGGCGACCATTGGTCAATGCACAGATCTGTAGAAATCTAGGATGGCCACATGTGCTGGGAATATCATCACCACATTACAGGCAGCACAACTGAAGAATGCTGCCTGCAATCCCAGCGATCTGCTCACCTAAAGAGAGGCCATGTTAGGATGAACAGCGGGCCGGTGGTTATGTGAACCAGCTTGCGGCTCAACTTCTGCATCAACACGCGAGTGTCGATAATCAGTGTTGCACAATGCACTTTCCGCGGCCAGTGCAGCTACGCATCTTAAGCCATCACCATAGTCGGGCCAGTTGAACCTCCCATGTGGGGGCGACGGCATCCCCAGGAGGACAAGGCACGCTGCGGCCCAGGGCCACCAAAGCTTTTGCATGCAGCACGCCAGGTCGCCTATCCGAATCGCCCCCAGCGTGCAGACCGGCCAGAGAAAGGTCGCCCCACAATCGCCCCAACACCTCCCACCTGCTCCAAAACCCCGTTCACGGCCAGCAGGTCGAAAATCTTGACCCACGCGTACGACCCGACCGCCGAGAAGGCCAGGGCCCCGGCGTCGCGCGCGGACAGCGCGCCCAGCATCGGCGCGGCGACGCTCCCCATCTCCGATCGACAAATCTTCGCCCCTCGATCCGAATCGCGAAGGCGCTTCGGCCGCTTTAGAGGCCGCAGCGGCCGCGGCGGCCGGCCCCATGCTGCCCCCAGCGCGCACTGCACCCCGCCCGCCCGCCTGTGGCAAGACATTGAGGGGGGGAGGGGGGGGGAGAGAATGGCGAGAATGGGACCCCAGAATTTGTTTGTCGTGACCAGAGCGCGGATGACTCACTCCCTTTGACCATGCCACGCCCTTGAGCGCGTCGCCGAGCCGCGCACACAAGACCGACCACGGCTCGGGGGCACAGCCGTCGGGGAGCCATACCCTGCACACGGAGCTGAGCGGGCGCCATGTCAGGGATCGGGGGCTTCAGGGGGGTGTCCGCCAGCCAGGATGCCCGCTTCTCGAAGTGCGCCCCGGCCCCCAAATGCCGCCACCGCCAGGGCCGGCAGATGCTGGCGGAGGGCTTTCCCAAGCCCGTGCTTGAATTCATTGCAGTGTCCCGCGGGAAACGGCGCCGCTTCCGCGGCGGCATTTTCGCTGCGCGCCTGTGCGAGAGCCAGTGTGGCCCTGCCGGTTGACGCGTGGACCCCCGCTGTTTGTTTTTCAGCAAGCAGGCGAAGCTGATGAAGTCGATGAAATTTCCCAAGGAGCTGGAGAAGAAGGTGGACCTGAAGAAGGTGAACTGGCCGGTGATGCGGGAGTGGATCGCCAAGAGGGTGACCGAGCTGCTGGGGCTGGAGGACGACGTGCTGATCAACTTCCTGCAGATCAGGCTGGAATCCGAAGAGGTGCGCTGCTCGGCCCGCACCGCCAGACAACCTCACCAAACCGGGTGCAGACCGTGTAATCGTCACAGGGGGGTTTGGGGGGTGGGGATATGCCGTGCAACTGGGCAACTTGGTGGCCACTCAAGAGCAGAGTTGGGCAGGCACTTTGTACATGGCTGATGGTGAACAGGGACAGGATTGCTTATCAGAAACCAACGCTTGGGTTTGTTGGCAGGCAAGTGTTTCAAATGGCAGCCGTTTATCAGGGTTTTATGAATTTCGGGGAAGAAAATTCCAGCTCCTTAGCGCAGGTCTGATTGTGTGCAAACAGTGCATCCTAGTCTATGTGTCTGCAGCCTGTAATCTCCTGGGGCCTCGTGCTTGCGATTAAATTGGTGGGCTGATTGTTTCCAGGAATTGAGCCCCAAGGAGCTGCACATCGAGCTTGTGCCCTTCCTGGAGAAGAATGCTGGGCTTTTCATGAAGGTGCGCAACCCTGAGTGACTGGAGAGACCCTGTATTTTGATAAAGACAGGAGCTGTGTTGGTTGAGGCCTTGTGGACCGCAGATGCCGAATGATAGTATGTTGCCCTTTTCATTTTGCACAGAGAGGGTTGCACACAGATTCAAAACCTTCACTTGTGGCATTTCTTGAATCTTCTGTTTATTGTGCACAGTGCCTTTTGCCATGTGGCACACTCTTGAACCATGCTGTGGCTGCCAGGGTCTCCGACTCTGTTGGACTGGGAATGCAGTGCCCGCTGTTGATGCTGGCTGCTCTCATGTGGTACAAACTGTCCCAGCCAAAACAAACTCACCTGCTGTGGAGCTTTGATGCAGACGACTTGAATCTTTGGGCTTCTTGCTCATGGGCTGAACTCTGCATTTGGGCACAGGAGCTGTGGACGATGCTCGCAAGTGCTTGTGAGAAAAAGAGCGGAATACCACAGCAGATACTTGATGAGAAGGCAGAAGAGATAAAAAGGAAGAAGGGGATGCAAGATCAAATCAATGTAGGTGGAATATGGCTGCATGGTCCTGTACTTGTGATCTGACGATGGGTTGCTGTACTCATAGCTCTTCAATACTGGCAACTTAGGAAAGAGAGTGGTTGTAGCAGCTGCATATGTCTGCAGGTATTGCCACTGGCGGCTGTAGAATGACTCTGACTGTTAGCATTTCATGGCTTTCACAGTGCGAACACATTGCTCTTGTTTGGAATGTGAGGACCTAGATCTGGGTTGCCGGGCAGGCCTGCCATTGCTTGTGGGACCAGTTCATTGTTGACACACCATTGCCCAAGTGATGTGTGCAGCACTCGTGCCAGCTATTTGTCCGACACAGTCACATCTGCGATCTCTCACTGGTTGTTGCGTGTTGGTTTTAACCAGCGCTATGGGGTCCACGTTTGCTTGCGCATCTGCTGGGGAAACCTTTGTGTAGAGCAGCAGTCTGAACCGCCATTTCCCCCCACGCTGGTGCCTTCCTGGTTGGAGTCCAAGGCAAAAAAGCACTCACACACACAGGGAGCCGAACAACATCTGCGTGTGTAGGGCGGTCATGTCGCAGCCCTTGGCAGGGGACCTAGTGTATGTGTGCGTGCAAGTAAGTGCTCTGGATTTCCGGAGGGCACACGGCAGGCGCACAAGGTTTTATTGCAGCATGTGTGTTTGTGTGTTTGATCTTGCAACTTTGTTTGGGCACAATTCCAACGATTGCTATATTTCGGTGCACTGTTGGGTGATGCCAGTGGAATTGAGTTGGGCTTGCACAGTTTACCACATTGTGGACTTGTGGACATGTACACAAGTGGCCAAGGCATTGATAGGTTCCGCACCAGTGCTGCTGTCATCCTCTTTCCCTGACAGTTGTGCCATCCTTCACCTGGTCAAAATTCTTGTTATGCTATGTAGCTGCAAGATCACCTTCAAAATCTCCCTGTTGAATGGCTGCCATAATGTTCAGGAGGCTATCCGGAAGCAACGTGAGAAGGATGTCGACAGGGAAGACAGCGCAGACAGGAAGAGGGAGAGGGAGAATGGGTTGCAAAGGCAGCATGGTGATCGTGAGGAACAGGGCAGGGAGCAAGGGAAGGACTACGATCGTGGGAGGGGTCGTTGGGGAGGCGATGGAGGACATGGCAATAGGGACCGCGACTGGAGGGGCAGCAACCGCCAGCAGCATCGGCGTTGGAGCCGTGAGATGCACAGGGACAGGGAGAGACCTCGTTATGAGAGCCAGAGGAGTGGGAATCGGTATGGCGGAAGAGATGACTGGGAGCATGACCGGCACAGAAGGGGCAGAGACGGTGGCAGAGACAGGAGAGAAGGTGTCCGGCAAGAGCAACGCAGGGAGGCAGCAAAGCCAAGGGCGGATAGGTGCGCAGTAGGGGAGTTGAGCAGTGAATGTGCGCACAAAGGGATATAAATATTGTGGCAGCTTGATGCATGTCAATTCATGCTGTACGACAGTCAAAGCACCATGCACATTTCAGTGGTCAGCATGGGCTCATCTAATGCTGCTGACAAGCTGCATGATGTTGATTGCTGGGATATAATTCAAGCGACCCATAGTTATGGTGCTCCATTCGCTGGCAGCTTGCATTTCTGGCACAACTGTTGTACATGCCTTACTTTGTCACCTGCGTGTTGCAAGGCATTTCATATTATCACATCACTGTTAACATCAGGTGTCGTGTTGTGTTCTTTGTTGGACAGCCCCGCAGAGGCGTACAGCTATTCAAAATCTGAAGCTGCTCAAAGCAGCCCCTCGCGAAGGTACAGTGGTGATAAGCATCTGGATAAAGCTCATGCAATGATTAATAGATCTAGAAAGCAGCAGCCCATGCACAGGGCTAGGAGCGTTTGTCCCTGCATTCCTGCACTGCCTCTGGGATGCCTTTCAGTCTTGGACAGCACCTTGTATCCATGAATGCAGTGTATTGCGTGCATTGTCATCAACCTGGCAACCATTGGTCTGACTGCCTCCCCTTGTGTGGTCCAGCTCTGCTTCGGGTGAGCCACGACCAGGGAGACACTCACCGTCAGCAAGTCCTGATCGCAAAGATGGTCATGTTACGACCAGCAAGGCAGGCCCACATCGACATACAAGGTAGCATGCGAATATTATTCACAGCCGATGGCTGTCGTACCCAAATCAACACTGCTTGTGTCAGTGGTCTTCACAGTGCAGGTAGAGGTTTGAATGTGCATGCTTTGTGACCTCTGCCTCTGCAGGGGGCCTCGTTCCCAGGCTATCAAGGAGCCAGCAAGCCCATCCCGCTCTCCTGTCTATTCTGGAAGCCCAGCTTCTGCAAGTCCAGGTCCAGCTGCAAGGGGCCGCCGCGAAACACGACGCTGTGACACAAGTCCCTCGCACCTGCAAGGTGACATTGAAGCCCGTGGCAGGTACCAAATGAGCTATGACAGGGGTGGGGCACGTGGAGGGAGGTTTGAAAGGGACGGCTTTGCAGGCAGGGCTACGCACCAGGAGGGCTCTGAGTCACCACCACAACAGAGCGGCAGGTACAGATCGCCCTCTCCCGCTCGCTTCGATGGAGGCCCTGCAAGAAGGAGAGGCTACGGGCCACCAAGGAGGGGTGGTGATGGGTACACAAGAAATGGTGCAGGGGGTTTCCCGGCAGGTGCGAGGGAGCAGGCCTCACAAAGCCCCCCCCCTGCTGGATGGGACAGGGACCACGATCGATCACCCACAGGGAGAAGGGGACGCCTGGAAGCCCGGGAGGAACTGGTGGGCAGTCCTCCGAGGAAGAGAGTGTACGGCGGCAAACTTGCACTGAGCATATCGCCTGAGCCGAGAACGAGAGGGTAAGCAGAGGCTGGGGCATATGTGGTGGGGCACAAAGGGAGTGTGGTGGGGTGTCTGTGTATTCACTCTTGGGGCGCTTTAGTGTGCCTTAGGTTGATGCATGTTTGTGAGTATTAGCTCGAGGATGTGTTGGTCTGCACAACTGCAGGCTGGTTGCTTGAAATACTGGGCGTGTGTCAGGAAACAAATGACATTCATTGAGGGTGGGGCATTGTGCACGATCGAAGGGTGACGAATGGTTGCTTGTGCCACCATGCTGCTTTGAGGCCACCAACACGCTTTATTTGTTTGTCACAACCTCCATCACGCTATCGTCATTTGCCATCTGTCTTCGCTTGCCTGTGTTGTCTTTGGGTGCCAGGGCATGTGCATCGTGGCGTGTGAAGTATGCACTCCCAATGTTAAGGGAAGCACCAGAAGTGCAGCTTTGTATGCATGAGAGTCGTCTGCTTCAAGCGATTGTTCGTCTCTACATGTTGACACTCGTTTATATATGTTTTTCGGGGTTCTTGGTCCATCCACAGCATGATCAGTGTCTGTCGTTTTGATTGGTCCAGTGGTGACCTGAAAGTTACGAGGGTAGCCCAGGTCTAGGCCTAGATTCTTCCAACCTGTCTCACACCATATCTGTGCCTCAGCAAAACCATTGTCTGGGCATCATCTTGTAAGACTTGTGAGTGGAAGCTGGGCAGCATTCGACAAGTTTGGAGTGGAGGTGGTGTCGTTATGTTGAGATTTGACGTCAGAGATTGTTCTGACAAGCCCTGCTGTTCCGTGCTGCAGTGAGAGAGCAGAATCTGACGGTGACCCTGGTTCCGAATCAAGCAAGGAGCCGAAAAAGAAGCACCATCACAAGAAAAAAGACAAGAAAGAGAAGCGGGAGAAAAAGCACAGAAAGCACAAGAAGGACAAAAAGGCAAAGAAGGAGAAGAAGAAGCGCAAGCGGACAGAGACTGACAGTGACTCAGATGCCGCAGAGAAAGGCTCAGAAGAAAAGAGGAGGCGCATCGAAGATCAGGCAAGAAACAGGGCACTGGCGTCGATGTCGTCGAGGTGATTCAGAGTGAAACCACATATCGCTGGAGGGTGCTAAAGGGGCATAGTCTGTCTCCATCCGGGTGTGGATTATATTTTGTGGTTGTGGATTGTGGGATCAACGTCACAAAGACGTTCTGGGTTTTGTATGACAAAGAGTGCGAGTCGCGGCAGTGTTGTCCAAATGTAGTAGGTTGGTGTTTGAAAATCTTGCTTGCTAGTGCATTGCATTCCTGCTCCACCACATGTGGGTGTATGTTCTCTGTACATTGCCCCGTGGTGGTGCCCCCGGCTCCTGTCAAAGGGCGGTGATTGACTGTTCCCCCATTTATGGGCAAGTTTCGTTGGCAATGGAGGCGACCGGACAGGCCCTTAGGCCTCCAATTTCATCGGCGGCGAAGGGGAGCGGATCGCCGCTGCTGCAATTAGGACGTTCTTTTGAGGGAGCAAGGGACGATGAGCGCGAAATTGCAGATCATTGTCCACATGAGTGCGAGGCTAGAAAGATTTACAGTGCTGTATAGATCCAAGCGTTTGCCACGAGCTACAGCAATAAACACCTCGCAGAAACCCTCCCAATAGCGCCTCAAATGGGCGCAAGTTCCCCACAGAGCATTGTCTGGCCATGTCGCACATCTGTGACTGCCTGTCACTGTTTGTGTTGGAAAATTGGACTGCGAAATTGCTCAGGAGGCACTGTCCTTCCCCACTGCCACAGTGCTGGGTAACGTGCCACAGAAGATGCGTCATAACGGAACGCTGTGACACTTTTGTTAACGCTTTTGAACTCCGCGTGGACTGCGTCTGCCACGCCCCAAAGCGGAGCTACACTAGGGCAGGACGACATGTACAAATCAGCATTTGCTCTGGGAATCGTCCAACTGGATCAATCCTCGAACAAGCAACGCTACGGATCAAGGCAAAAGGTCAGCCGTCACCACCGTGTTTGCCCGCAACGAGTGGGTGACGCTTCAGAATATGAAAGGACAGCATCTGTGAACGATACTCTAGTTTGAAAAAAAATGCTCTGGCCCCTCGTTTTTTCTCCCCTTGGAGCACAATCACCCGCTCCGCCCCACCCACACCACCCCCCCCGGCCCCTGCACGTCGGTGGCCGGCAATGCTGCGCAGCGCGGCCTCCGCCGCCGGCAGGGCGTGGCAGAGCGCCTCCCGCGGCGCCCCTGGAACCGGATCAGCTGCTTTACAGCGCGCGGAAGCGCAGGGCGGAGTCTGGCATCATGCTCGAGGGATGTCAGGTGCGTCTCGCGCTGGCCTCCTTCGCAGGCGATCCACCCCAAAATCTGATTTTCTTAGAATCCGTGAGAGTCGCGAACTCCCCTTCGAGATCCTCAGGGACGCTCTGCTTGGCTGGGGCGGTTCAGTTGCGTGGAACAGCGGACAATAAATACATAGTCATCCGGGGCTCCTGCCCACGCACAGTTCGGGCGATCCTCCCTCCACTGTGCCTGGCGCAGCGGCTCTTGCGCTCCTTCACGTACGCCAGCACACGAAAATGGATGGTGGCGAAACCTCTCTGTGCTGATTGGCACAGCGACGTGTGTCCTGGAAAGGTGGCCACGGCAAAGCTGTGACGTACGGTGGCCTCACCCTGTACGAGCCTCCTCCAATCTACACTTGGACGGCAAACATCATGGGCGGCATTATGTGGTGGGTGTGTCGTTTTGCGTGTGGTGGCGTTTCGTTCAGGCTTTGAGAGGGCTGCTTCGCACTCCCTTTACGCTGTTCGTGGAGAACATGGCACCATATTTGTAGGGCGGACATGAACCTCCAAGTGTTTTGGAAGGAAACGCCCTTTC